TTAGTAAAGAAATCTTATTAAAAATCCAGCGTTTGAGAACATTGGGCAGAAAAAAACAATACATGTCCATTAAATGGACATAAAGTTTGTTTGATTTACAATCTCTTATGCTTTACTTCAAGGTAAAGTAAAACCAAATTTACCTCTTAGAAGTGGATGCAAATTAGTAAATTTTGGTGCACCCTAAAAATAATTATTAAAACAAATAAGTGTTCTTAAGAATTAGTTCATAATTACATATGGCTCATAACAATGCATTTATCAGTACAGAAAGTGTGTTTGCATTCTCCAATAAAATCTATGCTAAGTTGTATGCATCTCAATATTTTAAAATGCAGAACTGCTTATTTAGGGTTGCCTAAATAAGAGTTTTATTGTGTAATAAAGCAGTCATGATGGCTATGTTGTCTTATGTCTTCTCATATCAGGTTAAAGGTTCAGAAACACTACAATTCTTTCTTGGCTTTTCCTAAGTGTGCTTTTCCATAAATCAGTTCAGAGCTCATTAAACTTATCTGTATTTTTCAGTAGTGTCTAGTTTTGAGACGCACCCTTGTGGCACCCTAAAATGCTAAACCAGAACAAAAGAGTTCAAGATAAGCAGCTCTTTTATGAAGCACAGCATACATCCAGATTGATGCAACAGGAAGACTTACATGAAGAACTTGCTGATGTTTATGCGAGCACAAGGCCTATTTTGTAAGCAACACACTTATGTCTTTAGGAATACATAAACTCAACATAAGGAAATGCATCCACTATATAAGTACTACATCTGTGCTACTGTTTATTATAAACAAATAATGCTTAATAAAACAATGTTCCATAATGTGGTCTTCTGGCAGAGCTCTGCATTGCCAGACAAGATTCTTACATTCAATCCCAAGCTTTCTGGCTGTAGATTTTGAAGTGCTTCTTGAAACAGTTTAATGATTCCAACAAGAGCTCACCGAATTACAGTCGGGAAAAACAGAGACATTTTTAAGATTTCAGAAAGAACTACAGAGAATGTTACCATTACCTGTATTTCAGGTTTTTAGGCTAGGCTTTTTCTGCCTTTTTTTCCTCTCCCTCAGCATACTGAGTTGCAAGCAATGAATTTACAGACTAAATTAGGTTTCTTCCAACTTATCTGTGATAGACCCTGAAATATTCACACATCACTAGTGTTAAAATGTCTATACTGTGTACCTGGCTGACAGGTGACAAAAATGCCAATTAACGATTGTTACTTTTGCTATATTTGCACCTGGATGCCACCCTAAAGATATTGCAGGAAGTGAAGGTTACTTAAGCAGAAGACAAAAACTGACACTTTTTGCCACCAGAGCACTTTCATGCAACAAAACTTGCTGTTGACAGCTTCATCCCCACATCCCTGGCCAGGCAAAGCGAGATAACAAATGTTAAATGCATATTACCTTCAGATGGCAACAAAGAACCAGCCCTTAAACATATTCTTTTACACTTCTTAATAATTTATCCACTTATCTATTTTAAACTGCATATGGTCACATATCCCACAAGATAGTAGGGAGGTACCTTATTTTGTTAGGCAAATATCATTTACTTTTCTGTCTCTCCCACATCTTCATGTTTATGATGACCTTTACAAATATCTTATCACAGTCCTAGTATCAAAATACTGCAACCTCAAAATGAGAAAAGCTATCAAAATAACATCACCATGCCGTACAAGCACACCCCAGTCCAATACATCAGCACATTAACCAGGCATTACTGTGGTGGTGTTTAAGCAGAAAAAACCAACCATGCCCTTCCCTGTCAAAGGCTCATCCTTCCTAAACTCACGGCTGATGCACCAACTGCTAAAAGATCCCAATCTAATTCCTCTTGGGGCTCCTTTCTGATCCAAAATCCATGGATAAGCAATGTCCAATCTAATACAGGAAGCAGTTCTGTAGTAAGGTTATACCCATATTATCTTCATTCAACAAGACAATTTCTCACCACAATCAGCAGGCCAAAAAAAGACACCAGCTGAAATACAAAGTAGACATAAAAAAGGATGGTTTGCAGAAGGTGATCAAAAAGTTAACATGAATGTATAAAAGAACTGTAAATACCTATGATTTGATTAACCTAATGCTTTGTAAAAAAGTTTAAGAAATTACTCTTCATTCTAAGCAGTTTTTATTTTCTGACTAAACGTAGAGCTTTGCCATGATTACAAAAATGTAGCATGCAATTGCATATGCCCTTCAGTACTTTATTTTATGCTCAATCAATACCAATTTTGTAATCCTAATTAAGGTCTCATTATTTCACAAAGTAGAAAATGACAATGTTTTCTTCTGAATTATTATGTGTGCTCAAAACCCAAAATCATAGACAACTTAATATTAGCACAGCATCAAAATGTATCTTACAGGATGCTTCCTAACTGACTTTTCAAGAAACCTTGAGCTCTTGTATCTCAGATATTAAAAAATCAAACCAAACCAAACAACCCCCAAACTCTTCGTCTGCATAACTTCAGCAAACATACAATAAGTATGAGCAATAGTTTAAGCACAAACCCTGAGCCCCGAGTCTTGTTAACATCATTACAGTTATATTCTACAACAGTGGCAAGAAGAGGAAAATTACTTCGAATTAACAACAACAATTCCTACATTTAATGTTATTTAAAAATCAAAGTGTTACCTAAGGCAATTACCTTGCAGTCTTTTAATATCTACAGGGAAAAGCCTAAGGGAAAATAATTGACTTTGCTAATTTTACCCTTGGCAATTATAAAATAGCTCTGCATTTCATTACGACTACAAAATTTCACATCTAATTGTCAGCCCCGAGAGAAGCACAGAGATAAATGCATCATACACAAGCTCAGACAAGAGTTTAACAGCACAGGAAAATTACCTTGGTAGCAGTGGTTTCAATGTTAAACCTCCCCTTAGTTTAAATTCTAGGCTATACAACAGCTATGCGTGTCTACAGAGGTTAGAGCCTATCACGGTCAGTACCATGTAATATAAAATGTTGCTCATTTCATTAGACAATTTGCTGAGCTACCAAATAAGTGCCAGCAAAAAAAGCAGTACTGGGATTTTTACTTTCTACATCAAAGAAAACAAAACATTATGAAGGAAAAAAGTCACAGTTATTTCACACTGCTGAAAAACAGATGCCAGATTTGAAAATTCATCATTTACAAAAGAATAAATACAGTATGTTTAAATCATTGCACCTGTCAAGAGATTTCTATAGCTTGTACTTCAATTTTTCTAACTTTGCTAGTAGGGTTAGACATATGAAAAAGAATAATTTACTAAGTCAATCAGTTTCCATAATGGCATCCCACTTATCTTATGTAGAAGCTATGAAAGTATTTAGATGTCAGAAAAATGAAAAAAAAGTGCTAAAATGTTTTGGCAGAATTTTCCGACGCACAGTGTAATGACTGCTTAAAAAAAAAAAGAAAAAAAAAAGGAGTTTTTTTTGCACTTGTGCTTCATTTCACTGTAGGCTTGTTTCCTGGCAAGTCTGCAGGGATTACACATTGCTGCTGCAATACTTGATGATGTACGAAATGCAGAATAATAGGTGCTACATTTTATAAAAGTCTCCTCTCATGTTTAAACAAAAAAATTGATTTAGGGTTAAATCCTGTGGTCTGTCTTGAGAATCTTACCATGCACCAAGAAAAAAAAAAGGATACAAATCAACAATAACTAGTAAAAGCAACTGAACCCCATCTTGGTTACTGTATGACTAAAATTTTGCACTACTTAAAACTTTTTTTGTTTTATTTTTTTTTAATACTTCCTACCAGTTACCAAGATAATGGCTTAGCGCAGTATTCCAGCAGACTGAAATCTGATTTTCTGTTTCTTCTCTTGAATCTCAGCTCTGTGTTACAAAATGACACCACTTTCGAGAGAAACTGTCACACTTATGATCAAAGCAGTACAGAAATATTCAGCTACCACCACGAGAAGCTTTAGCACGAGAATCTAAAAACAATAGGCTCCAACTCAGGATTAAAAATATGTTGACTGTTGACAACCACATGCATGACAAACATTTATTTTACATCACGATATGGCAGCAATCTTCAGATGTATAGAAAATATCCCTGCAGAAAAGACCTGTTTTCTGTCTCAGCTGGGATGGCACACTCAGCTCTTCAGCCACACACACACTTCGGGGTTACACTGACACAGGGGTGCCCAGGAATCCCTCTCTACCTCAGAGGGTTTTAAGAACAAGCTTGACAAACACACATCAAGAATGATTTGGTGTAGCTGATCCTACCTGGGGAAAAGAGCCACCAACTAAAGAGGCGATCTCTTAAGGTCTCCATCAGTCTAATTTTCTAAGTTCATACGTATGTACAATTAATTTGTCATGAAACACATTTCCCTGCAAAGCTTCAAACTGTTTGGCTAGGCAGCTGGATTGCAGCTGCCCTTTAGAAGCCAGTACATCCACATTAATAGGGCAATCCAATACTCGGGGGGGTGTCCAAATGCCTAACAAAGTAATTTTGTTAAGAGTAAAAAGTCACCTGAGCACTGTGTAGACAAGGAAATGAAGCCTTTTCCCCCAAGAGTTGCCTAAGACAGACAAACCTTTCAGAAAGCACAGGGTAAAACAAAACAACAAACCAAACATGTCTTGAGCTGGCTGTCTGCCACAAGTGCTGTAGAGTCTGACACATCATGAGGATGCCACTGCATATATGATAAATTCACCAAATTATCCACTCATCCAGTACTAGAGTGCTTCAGAAAGAATACAGAAGGCCTCACCACAGTAATTCTACAGGACAGTGGTAAACACATTCACAGCAGCAGCCTGTCAATCCATCTATATCAATACTGTAAGTATGCTTTTTAAAGTGTGTGTGATTTTTAAAAGGATGCTCCATATATACATACATATCATAACTGCTGATTTTTCAAAGGACTTCTTTTTCAGAAGATTATCTAATAGCTCCTTGCTCTGACAGTAGAAGATTTTTTTTTTCATTTTACCTTGGTATTCTGCAACTGTGCAAGGCTTGTGCACGCATTTGCTAGAAGAAAATCTCCGCTCAAAACAGCCATTTTATTTCCAAACTGCATATCCTTCAGCGGGCCGTCACAGGACTTGAGCTCACCAATATTCACTATGCCCCGATGCACCAGAAAGGCCGTATGGATCAGTTCTGTAATCTCAGCTAAACTTCTTTGACTGAAAGCAAAGAAAAAGTACAATTATTTTTGATGTTATTAATAAAACACAGATTCCTGGGGGGCGGGGGACCAACAACAAAAGAACAACCAACCACATATACTAAACAGATATTTTATGAATTATGATATTTTATGAATTATCACGTAACTCTTCTCTGTACTTCTAGAAGCCACAACCAGGAGGCGTTAAGCACAGAGAGCTATCACTAAGTATTTCCAGGTAAGCCATGGGAACCACAGGTTCCATTTGGAGAAATGCTTGCCCTTTGTTTGAATTATTTCACAAAATAAAGCTAAGTGATCAATAGAGACCTCATGGTGCTTTCTTTTTTTGTTTAGTCTCCTAGAAGCTTGGGGGACACTGGCATGAAGAAAATGCCAAGCAGAAAGTACCAATGGGAAGGAACAAAGGAGGTGTCAGCAGGGGAGTCGTGAGCAAGCCGATCTGAACACCGTAAGAACGCTGCAGTCAATGACTGCTCTAATTAGAGTTAAATTAATAACAGGATACCTTGCAGTTCAATAATACCAAGGGGGGAAGGCACAAGGAGGAGAGGAAAGACAGCTGAACGTTTTAGAACTGTGTGCTAAAGGTATTTCACTGGTTGCTTTAGTCAGAAGCAGCAAAGGTGATTGTCCAGCAAAGGGGCAGACCCGATTTTATTTGGACAGGTTTACAAATCACTTCTCATTTCCACACACAGTATGCTACATTCTCAATTTAAGGGTTTCAAGTCCCTGAGAGAGGCTTGCCCTCTATTTATCTTAATTTTTTGGAAAAGGCATGAAAAGAGTCATTAGCACAGGCCTTTCTTCTCCTCGTCCTGCAATTCAACCCTGTACCCCCCGATAGTCAGCAACTGCCACTCCAAGGGGCCCAGAGATATCACCTTCATTCAGGAGTACAACAGGGCGATGGACAGACACCATAACTGAGCAGGAGCAAGGGGAGGGGGGAACAGAGCAACGCACTGGAGCATTCCCTCAATGCTGCAAACCTAGACACACACACAAGTCTCCCTCTTGGGAGATCTTCAGCACGTTCGTGTCTTTCCTAACTCAAGCAGCTTCCTTTATGTCATGGAAACTTCACATACGAGCAAAACCGCAATGCATGTCCTCAACTAAACAGATGACTGAAAAGCCTTAAAGTTTAAATTAAATTGCAGCCTAGTACAAAGGCCTGTTATGCTCCCTGTGTGTATTCAAAAGTGGCCAAGCATTGATTCACTGAGTCACCAAACTGCCCCATACCTTCGCATACACATATACCTGCTGATACATGCTCAGGTTAGATTCTGCCTCAGTACTGGCACAGTACTGAGCAATTTAATGCTGTTTCCTCTGAACAGTGCAGATGTGTTGCAACTGCCCCAAACGATATTAATCTAAAGTAACCTTTCTGCCCCAAATATATCTGACCTGTGAAAAGCCCCAGCAGCGACTGTTTCAGGCCAGCGAGCTGTGCCAATTAGCAAGAGAGAAGAGCTAGGAGAGCCACAGAGCCCGGGCAGGCATGCAAAACGTGGATGAGCTGGGGGAAGAGGACAAACAGAGGTTCCCAATGTATTTTGTCACACACAAAAAACCTAGGCTGTTTTAAGAGTTGCCTTTATAATTCACAATTTTTGCTCCATGCAGAGAAAACCAACCTGAAAACAAGGCAGCCAGCCATTCTCCACGTAGACAAGAAAATTGAAGGCTGATGCTGTTTTTCAAAGAGGAGAGGGAGGAATTTACAGAACCTATAACTGCAGTATTGTAATCACGCTCAGTTCTGCTCTAACAAAGGGTTAATAAAATTTCAAGCTTGGAGAAAAAGACTAACAAGACATCCCGATGCTCCTGCTGTCATTGTCAGGGCAGCCCTTGGAGGAAATGTCCATATCAATTCAGTTTATCAGATGGACAGCTGATCAACATTAAACAGACTTGCTCTGGGCAGACTGAGCCGCACTACCTGCTCTGAATAGCAATGAGAGCCCTCTGCTCCCTGCTGCTGAGCTCTGCCATTTCCGACTGCCGCAGATCCCAGGACATATGGGGATCCCTAGTGACGAGCACAGAAAGCTGCAGCTAACTCCAGCGACGGCTCATTTCCCCCAGCTGAAAGCAGGCATTAATATCCTGAGGAGATCAGGCCCGCCTCTGTGACCCCCGACTATTGAAGCAAAACGACGACTGTCCTATTTCTTCATTTAATAAGCTTTTAATGAAGGAAATAAAAATCCCCTCTTTGACTTCAGCATCGCTCTTCATAAAAAGGTTACACAAATACATCAGTGTCATGCTTTCTAAATGCTCGGGATCTGGATGTTTTCATTTCTTTTTCTGTAATCCGTTTGTTCTCCAAATGGTATTCATATTATTTGTGTTAATGAGAGAACCATACTAGGCAGATAATCTACGTCTAACTCTGATTTTATACACAGCTCTTCCACCCTCTCTCTCGAGCAAACTATAAATATGAGAACCAAAGCTACTGCAGAAATCCAGGCAATAGATTTTTATTTTTTTTTGCAATAAACCCCATAATATCCAGCTGTAACTAAGAAGTCCTCAGTGCTGCTACAGATACAGAAGGGTTCTTGACATGACTTTGGATGCTTTACAACAAAAAAACCCCCAAAAACTACTATTACGAAGTGGCTATTGAATGGCTAAAGCAATACTATACACAGCTTTCTCAATCTGAAGTACAATTCAGTGATTAAATAATTTTGTATTTGAAAGCAGCTAACCCCAAAATACAAAAAATTAATGTTTATGCAATGCTGGACTTACAACAACACACAACAGAGTACAAAAGCAGAAAACAAATGGGCAACAGGATTAGCAACTCCTACTGCTTCCAACCTGTTCTTGCTCCAGAGCCCATGCTTGCACAACAAAGATGTGGTTGCCACAAGAATTACTCACATAGCAAGGTAGCCCTGAGAAAATAGTATCTTTAAAACACATGAAGTCTCTAAATGGAAACAGGCTAAGAATAAGGAACACTTTCACCAAATGCCAACGTACTCCCATCTGTCTTTCACGGCCTTTGCCACTGCAGCAAGAACTCCCTGCAAGCCACCACCAGCTGCCCCAGAGACTGACTGCACGTACAGACATCACATTTCAAGAGATGACACCATTTTGAGCTCCACACCTCCCTTGATCTTCTTTTCCTTCTCCCCTCCCAAAAATCAGCCTACATGCACTAATGCCATTCCAAAGAGAGTGGTACAAAGACCTGGACGTTACCAGGGGGACCGTACTAAAAGGTTTTGATGGGTCACAGTCAAACAGGCACAAGTATCACTGTCAGCTGCGTTATCTAAGCAGAGTGAATTGTGAAACGCAGCTCCTGCCCCCCGCCTCCACCCTCTCAGCTAAGAGAATCCCAGGACTGTTGAGGCTGGAAGGGACCTCTGGAGGTCATCAGGTCCAGCTCCCCTGCTCAAGCAGGGCCACTTATGTACGGTTGCCCAGGACTGTGCCCAGATGGCTTTTGGATATCTCCAAGGATGGAGACACCACACCCTCTCTGGAATCTCCAAGGATGGAGACTCCACAACCCCTCTGGACAGACTGTAAGAGAACAGCAAGACTTACTGGCTCACTACCCTTTCAAGCCAATTACTGCCTACCACTTCAGTGAATACTTTTTCCCCTTCCTCCAGTCTTTGATAAGATCCTCAGTTCTTGGCTCTTTTCTTTTTTTGCTCTACTCTCTACTTCACAAAAAAATCTGAATTCACAAACTTCTCTTGCCTGCGGCGTGTAAAAAGGAGCAGCATCTAAGTTACCTTTTGTTATTCTGCTTTTGACTCCTTGTTCCTCCAAGTTCAGTACCAGTGTAACTAACCTAAATCTCTGTAAAATGCTTGCTATAAAGCATCCCTTAGGTTACGAGCTCCTCAAGCTGTAAATGTCATCCTGGAGAGTACAAAGAAAATACTAACTTCACAAGTAATTAAAAAACTATTCAGAGAGGTCAACTGGAGCTATATTGACTCTAGGACTGTGAAACACCAGCTTGCAAGAAAATACTAGAAAAATGTAAAATGAAGTTATATAGACAGCCTGCAACAAGAAAAATAAGTGCAATTCCTACTCCTTCTCTTTGCTTCTCTCTGCCAATGGAGTCACACAGATCACCGATATTCAAGTGGCGAATATCAATATTGGTGAACTTTGATAAACTGCTGAGCATACTTCAAGAAATCTTTTTATCTGCCCTTATAAACTAATGCAGCAGCTGCAACATCCTGCCGCTGCGACGCCAAAGTGAGGAATACAGGTTTTGTAGAAACCCCACACGTGCACAGGCACCACATCTATAGAGAAAAATAAAGAACTAATGGAGAAACTTTATAAATAAGCTTCTAACTCAAAAAATGCATTTCACAATTTTGTTTTGGATTAGATTTTATTATTTGTCTGCCTCATCACTGTATCATTGTTATTAACGGTCATATTACAGAGAGGAACATCTCATGAAGAATTCAACACAAATTTTAAAGCCTACACAACACTATATGAAATGGTAAGGGGGGGTGGCAAAATATTGCAACAAAATTCCATGGAAACAAAATAAGTTTGGATATGAAGTTTCCTACGCAACTTTTAAAAATTAATGTTGCAGAGCTCCTTCCTGGCATCCTGAACACCCTCTTTGTTGTTTGTGTTATCTTTAAAGACTTCCAGCAAGGAAACATTGGCCACTACGATCTCTTTAAGAGTTCTTACAAGTGACTTCAATCCCTAATTTCAAGTTCTACTCTAAAAAGAAATCATAGCATTTGGCAAAACATGAGATAAACCAGAAACATTAAATAGCACAATTGTTTTGCTGTGAACAAAAGAGTACCTCGACTCAGACAGACCTCTGCAATATTTGTGATAGAAATTCAGGCTCTCAGTAACAGCAAGAAAACTTGAGCCAGTTTACCTTTCATTATCGGCTAACCGTCAGCCCTCTCAAAGGATGACAGGTTAGGCAAAGAACCATTTAATAA